ACCCCCCCCCCCCCCCGCGCTTTTTTAAGCAATGCAATGCAAGGCCACTTCAAGTATCATCCTGCCAACAAAGATGGATCCCGTGTGGACCCTCCAGAACCGTTGGTAAAGACGTTGTGTTTGCAAATGGGGGGGGGCCGGCCCCTCTCCCCCCAACCCCCCTCCTCTGCTTTCTTTTTTACGCCGTGCAGGCTTGCTTTCAAGAAGTGTTTCAAGCACAAAGCTCTTATAGAAGTGCAAAAAATTGAAAATTCCATCGTACAGGCATTCTGTTTGCAAGGGAGGTTGGGGCTGTGCTCATAAATACTAGTAATTTCCGCTAATTCAAATTGGAGGGACACTGGTGGTTTTCCTATTGAAACATAGGAAAGTACAGCTTATAAAGCAATCCAAAAAGCAGAAACATACAGAATCAATTCTGCACCCAACACAACGTACAGAATCAATTCTGCACCCAACACTTTGCCAGTCGACATTCCCGACTAGTTTTTGGCACAACACGAAGCCTTGGACATTGAACACACGGAGCCGCGTATGTTTAACTCTTCAAAAGCTTGAACAAACCAACACTTCGCAATCGAAATCCCCGAATAGCTTCGCGCAAAACGAAGGCTTGCAACTCGGAATTCCCGACGAGCTTCGACTCATAAGAAGCCCTGCACATGATAGTTCCCCAATAGCTTGCAACAAAAGTGCTGCAGAAGAACACCCCGAGAAATGGGATTTCCGCAACAGCTTGCTGCAAAGGACGACGCTACAGGTGGGCCATTCCCAATAGCTGGCTGCAAGTCAAACTCAACGGACCCCTCGGCCAAACCTTCTAACAAACACCTTTTGGCAAGACCTAAAACGAAGCCCTCCACCAAAGGGACCAAAGGGTATGCCTCTGCTTTGACTGATGTTCTCGTAATCTGGGAGCCTGCGTGTTAACACGAGTGGATTGGATTTGCCATGACGACGAGCGCGCTGTGGTGTTGAAAGAGAAGAGAGCTTCAGATTCTAGCCGCCCCGGATAGCTCGCTACGACAAATCAGTAAGCACCCAAGCAAGTCTGACGTCAGAAAGGAGCTAGTGGCGAGTGGATCGGAGGATGCGCAGGCAGGCTTGAGCAAAGCTCGTGCCACAGCATTGCGGGTTGGGCTTTGTCTTCAGCTACTTGCACACTGAAGATTTCTATAGCCTGATACGTTCCACAAGTTCATATTTTCATCGGCAGGTCTACATATGGCATCGACATTATGGATCGCTGCTGCAGGCTCCGAGCCCGCATGCGACATACTGCACCGACCGTTTCCAGGAGGATTCAGGAGTGCTGATATCGTGCTGAGCAGGTCCTGCCAGGGCACACTGCAACGGTGAACTCAGTGTGCCAGGAGACTCAGAATACCACGTCGTAGCGGTTGTATGTCGAAAAACTGATGCAAGGTCACACTCGCAGACTGCATGTTATGCATCTGGAACTTGCCTCCCCAAAGCTATTGAGGTTGGATGCAGGGACCTGCCCCTGCCGGTGTGCTTTGTCTGCATATGGGTGTTGCGCACCTGCCACTGCCAAAAGTTAACATCGCATGTGACTGCGACTGACTTCGCTTCAAAAACTCTCCGCTCCCACCACTTGTAGACTCCCAGTCTGCGCAGTCTGCGCCTTAGGAGCCGAGCGGCTGGCTGGTGTCGGCCTCCGATGACTGTACTCTCAGGGCCCGGTGCCCAGATGTGTCCGTCTCGGAGCCCTCCGCTCCACCCCAGGATGCCCTTTGCAAACTGGTGGGTCATGTTGAAACCGATTTGGAATTCGCTTCGAGCATTGGGCTGGACCCAGCTTAGCAGGACCTCACCACTTCATGTGTTGTGCCACTTCCAAGTCCGAACAAATTCCTACGCGGTGCCAGCTTGCTTCCGACCGAAGCGCGAAGGTTTGGGGAACCGAAGCTGCAGAGATGCGCCGCCCACAGCCTTGCAGCTCTTGCACCTCTCAAAGCCCAAAAGCGCAGAGGCCCAGGCTTATCTATCAGGGCTTTCGCTGCAGGGATGAAGCCGAGTCTGCAGAGGAGGAACCCGCGGCCGCGGGGGTCCCAACATGTCCCAGGAATGGCTTCGACGTACGCTCTGCGCTTTCTCGAGTTCAGGCAACGGCATGTCATCTCCGATTCATCTGCTGCCGCGTGAAGGTTTGGCCCTGGTAGCTCCTTTCCCCGTTCCTTGGGTACTATAAGTGGCTCTCGTAGCTCGACATGGAACGATGGCGGAGCCTGCTGGCAGACCTAAGCCAGGAGCTGGAAGGCCAGGGCCAGGGCTTTTCCCCCAAAATTTTCAGCCATGGTCGACCCACCTTTAGCCCCCACCTCGAATCCACCTCGAAGGCCAGTTCGCGCTGATGGACGACCTCCGCCGCAAGAATCGGCAATTGGAAGATTCCTTGGCGAATGCTGGTTCGCACGTCTTGCAGACAGGCATGCGGCGATCACCCACGAGATCGCCGACCAAGGCCGAGAAATCTTGGGAGATGGTGATTAACAGCACGACCACGCTGAAGGGAGTGAGCAGGCCAGGACAGAGGCCCTCTAGGCCTTCAACGAGGCCCACGACACCGACGACACCGCAACAGGATGCACCCGCTGTTTGGATCAAGAGCGAAAGCGAGAACCAGGACCTGAACCTGGAAGCAGATCGGCTCGAAGAATTTGAGCCGGAGGACTCGAAGCTCTCCAAGCAACTCTCGAGAAATGGGTCCGGTCTGCGCGGCATCGGCCAAAGCATCGCAGCGAGCATCGGTGCCGGGTTCGGAGCCATTGGCAATCGTGGCAGCCGTGGCACTTTGCAAACCAATAGGACTTGGAATAATCGAGCTGGCTCCAAACAGTCGAAGGCCCGAGATAGGTGTGCTGGTTGTGGGGGTCGAGAGATGGTGATCCGTGATGCGATGATGTGTAATTTCATGATAAACGACGAGTTGGATGCAGGATGGAATGATGAAAGCCTGGTGAAAAACTGACTGAACAGGTGATTGACGACGGCATCCAATTCACGGTCCTGAGGGCGCACAAGACGGGTGTGTATACTGTGCAAAAGCCGTGGTGCCTTGCCTGTGGTTTGAAGTTTCTTTTGTCTCACCACATCTCTGTTTTTGGGGCTCATTGCAAGCTTCGAGGTACGTCATCAACCCTGACCGAAGCTGGCTGGCGAGCACCTGGCAATTTGTGATGAGCTTCGCCCTGCTCTTTGTTGCGTTCGTGACCCCAGTTCAAGTATCACTACTGGAGCCTGGGGTGGACGGTGTCTTCGTCGTCGGCTTCCTGGTGGACTTCATCTTCTTGGCTACTCGGCCATGCGTGATGTTCCGGTGAAGCTGTCCCTGCTGCACCGTGCCTCAATTCAGAACTGAGTTCCAGCTGACTTAGGTCGACTTGATCATGCAGTTCTTCACCGCCTTCTCCACAGCAACCCCCTACGGTGTGGTCTGGGAAGTGCGTGTCTCCCACATATGCAAGCACTACCTGAAAACTTGGTTCATGGTGCGGGCCCAAACAAACGGTAATACCGTCTCGGTAGTTTCTTTGAGAGTTGGAAGGTGTTGAAGCCGAGACTAGGAGTGTCCAGGAAGCACATGGAAGTACGACAGGTGCTTGTAGACTGCACTGAGCTGCACTCTCCCCAGGTGGATTTCATCACAGTTATTCCCTGGGACTTCCTGGCCATGTTTCTGCAGGTGAACAGTTTGAAGGACCTTGTCGGGATCAAGGTGATCCGGGCTCTTCGTCTCATCAAGCTTATGCGCCTCATGAAGGCTTCCAAAATTTTGCAGGACGTCGAGGCTCCGCTGTCCATTCCTTATCAAAAAGTCGCGCTCTTCCGATTTATCTTGGTTTTGGGTTTGACGTGCCACTGGCTGGCATGTTCTTGGGCGGTGACACTCTCCGTCATCGACGAGGGCTACCCGCGTTGGATTGATGATATTGCAGAAGCGGATCTTCATTTCGGTGTGGTAACCACTGAGTCGCCATATCGTGTTTATGTTGCATCTTTCTATTTTTGTGCATACACAATTACCTCCGTGGGATACGGCGATATTAGCCCCAAAAACATCGTCGAGCGCATGATGTGTTCGGGGCTTGTTTTAGCAGCCGGTCTTTCATGGGCCTACGTCATTGGGGAAGTTGGCGCCATCACTGCAGACATGACCGCAGAGAGCCAGGAGTTTCGCAAAACGATGCACCATTTGAGTCCCGGCTTCTCCAACTAGATGATAAGTCAACGTGAGTCCAGTGTACTCCAAGTTAGCTACAGCCGTGTAAACAGATAAGCTCGACGCGAAAGATCCGGGTCGTAGTCTCGTGCGATGTGAGGAACCGTATGATGGATGATCAGAGGGTCCCTTATGAACTCCAGATACGCGTCCGACGTTACTTCCTGCAGAACAAGTACCAGTCAATGCATGTGTCACGGCAAGACTTGTTGAAGCGTATGAGCCCGCAGCTGCAGGCCGAGGTATCGGTGATTACAAACCTTCTATGGCTGGAGAAAGTGAGCTTCTTTAAGAGTTTTCTGGGCTACATCAAGGATCAGAACAAGCTTGGAGTATACACCGCACCCTACGAGGCTTGTGTGGCGGATGTCGCAAGGGCCCTGAACGTTTGCGCCTTCGCCCAGCAGGAGACTTTCCACAATGTGCAGGTTTTGTACATCTTGTCCAAGGGCCTTGTGGCTCTGAACAGCCGCGTGAGGTCATTGGGAGTGGTGTGGGGCGAGGACTTCGTCTTGTCAGACACTTCCTTGATCCGACCAGTGGCCTGCTATGCCTTGACGTATCTGGAGCTCTTTAGTTTGACTCGGGAGGATTTCATGCAAATCATCCAAAGGAGGCGCTTCACCTGCCCTGAGCTCTTCCGCATCGTTCGCCGCTACTGCGTTTGCATCGCGGTCTACCGCGGCATTCTGGCTGAGGCGAGGCGGCGACAGCTGGAAATGATCCAGGCCGAGGTGGAGCGCGTGAAGGCACAGGAAAAGGAGCATGCGGCCACGGGCTTGAGCCGAGTGCGGCAAGTGGATCGAACAGGATCGGAGTCCTGGAGCTCGCTGAGCCTCCCTGGTGAACCCGTGCATTGAAGTTTCCTCAGAAACGGGTGCAGTCAGTGAATGCAGACGCGCCTGGCTCTCAGTGTCTGAGAGCATGAGGCCAGCTGATGAATCCCAAAAGTCTTAACAAGCCGCGTCCCAACACTCACAATGTTGAGCATCGAAGGGCCACGGACAAGTCGAAAGCGACTGTAGGAAAGGCACCTGCCAGGGACAAATAGCATGATGCATCCGGACCATAGCCGAATCACACTCGTCAGCTGGTTGCCGCCATTTGTCAAAGGTTTATTACGGCTCAGCCGTGGTCAACCATACATGAGCCGTGGACGGAATCGGGGCTGCTAACAAGATCAGCATTGAGTACGAGGCATCCAAGCTAGAGGTGTCCCCTCTCTGAGGTAACACTCTTGTCCGAGGCTCAGAGTTGAATTCTGTTTTTTAGGGCTGGCCCTCACTGACCAAGTGTCGGGGCAGCCAAACCGAGCGCTTTGCTTGGCTCCTCATGCCGGTTGGCGATGACCGCTGAGTGATATCCCTGCTTTTGCTTCGAGCTTGCATGATTTTGATCATTGGGGAATGATCCGGGGTGGGTCAGATCGGTTGTCTGCGTTTGTGATTGAATCGGCAACGAAGCTGACTAAGAGTGCGCTTCAGATCACAGTTTCAGCTGAACACACCGAGAGAGTTCCCCGAGCTGGCCTCTGATCACACATAATGTGCCAGATGCTCCCAGCTCCTTCGAGTGATGTCCTCTGTTCATGCTCCCCCGGCTGCTGACACATGTTGCACAGCTTGATGCAGCTGCCGGCTTTCCCCTGCGCACAGCAAGTGCATCTTGACACTGGCTTGCCAGCTGCACCAAATGAAAAACTTCACGGAAACTGCTGGACTCGGACCTGCTGATTAGCCCTTCCATGCCTGAAGCGGTTGAGCAGGCTGTATCTGGAGCAGAGGATGTTGATCAGAGGCTGGAATGCCGGACTGCATGCTACATGCTCAGGTGTCGGATTTACTCCCGATATTAAGGCGCTCACATAGGTTTGAAAAGAATGGAACACGACTCAAGCATGCCTTCAATCCGATGGGACGTAGGAACGGCAGCCCTCTACAGGCCCGACAAAGGATCCCGGATGCATTTCGGCTCGAGCTGCTCAAGGGCACGAGGTGGCTGGCGCTGGAGCTCAAAAGAGGACAACTCTGCCAGGCCGGGAGAGCCTCCCAGGGCGCATCCAAAGCAGTTTCAAAGCGATCCGAGGGAGCGCGTCGTGATTTCGCAGTCTGCCGGGAGCGAGAAGGCTCGACATGCACGCCGCCACACCACATCTTAGTGCTCGGCGGATGCATGAAGCAAACCTTAGCCGCCCTTAGCTTTAGGTGGCATGCGAGAGAAAGGGGTCCCAGGTTCGAAATATTTACAATGGTCGCGAAGATGGCAATCGAGATCGGCACCTGGGCGCAACACTATGCTCGACGTGCTAACTTGCACGAGGATCGGCCTGTCTGACAGTAGCTTGACAGTCACCTGACAGCACCGTATTACAATCTCTCGACACTGCGAGTTCCGTGCAATCCTACTGTAGAACACCAACTGCCAAGTTTGGATGGAAATACAGGATTTGGCCAACAGCTGTAATAAATGTTCAGGAGTTGATGTTGTGGATGATGGTCTGTTGCTTGAGGAGTTTCATTCGTCCACTGGTCGCAAAGCTCAGGATTGAACACCCTCGGGCTACTTCTCGAAACCCCTCTCCTGGTGATACTTCGCAGCGGCTTGTCGAACACCGGTCGGGCTGAATTTTGACTGCTTGGGTCGTGGTCGATAGGGGTGGATAAGGATCTCGGTGATTTCCGGTTGGTACGGAAGATGTATTGGCTTCAGACTGCTACAGACGTAGGCAACCCAAGTTCACTGTATTGTCGATTCCAACACCTGCCTGGCAGAGGTCGTTGCGCGCCCAGCAGAACGTACCCCTCCTGCTCATGGTTGCGATATGTGTTGACAAGTTGAACTGCCGTTCGTTGCTGCCCGTTCCCGGTGCTTGTTCGGAAGCTCCATGCGAGAGAGCTCTTGTTCAATGCAGGCAGCACGAGTGCCCAAAACGCCTCATGTCGGAGGTCTCTCTCAGGGTGCACAAGCGCCGTGATGCCCTGTAGGAACAAACGACAGGGGGCCATGCAGGTCGCGATGGCTCTTTTAATGTATGCCAGAGTCCAGCAGTGCTACTCAGGTTTTATGACCACTCTTTCTTCCAGTGACCTCAGCAAGAAACGAATCTGCGAGAAGGCATGGAATGTTTTCCGTAACATAGGCATTGAAAGCATGATGTCAACGATAAGTAGCAAGCATTATGCAATGCTTGGGGGCGTGGGCAGCTTGCGACCTGCCGCTGACCTGCAGGCCTATCCACCACGTGAGCAACAGGAGCAGTTGAATGACGAAGCTGCTGCGCCAAACAGGTGTGGCCTTGCCTGCAAATTGAGGCCACAACTTGACTTTATACACAGGCCGAACATCACCATGAGACTGCCCATTGCCCATTGGCGAGCTTGCTTTATGCCGAGGTGAGGCAGACGACTCTAACAGCCAAGAAGTGGGCCGCAAGCCTGCAGTTAGGTGGAGTGTTGATGCTCCTCTCCGTCATGGTTGATGATATGCATGCAGTTCGGGTCGTGTGGTCTGCCAGGAATCCCATTGACAAAACTTGGCGAAATGGAAAACATCAAGACTGGCCTCAGGCGCTTGCGCAGACAGCTGGTGTTTCTGAAATAGGGACCGCCCATTTCGGTCGACTATCAAGGGAACCCTGGCCCGGGTGCGGCCTGGGCTACGCTTGCCGTTTGGCCGTCGCTGGGAGCTTCCCCAATGATGGCCTCACATGAGCAGTCTGTAACAAATTCAGTGATTGCTATACCTCTAGCAGTGTGAGGAAGTCTAAGCGGCGGAAGTTTGGTACGGCCTCGCAATCGGCTCCGATATCATGCGTAAGCCTGTTGGTAGCTTTTGAAGTACTCGTAGTGAAGTCTGGTTTAGCACCATCGGGAGTTGGGGACTGAATTTCGCATGTTTGATGTCTGGGGGCCTAGCAGGACAAAGACTGCGGAATACACAACAAGAGCTGGCAAGAGCTTTCGTAGAGCCCGAGCAAGCTGCCCACGATTCGACAGACGTCAAACGACTCTTTGTCCGTGAGACATTTACATGGTGCTGGATGTAAGCGAGCCGCGGTCGCCAAGCAAAATGGGCTTGTAGGTCCTTTCACGTCGCCTCCGAGAAGAAACAGCCGAAGGGTCCCCGCAACAAGGCATCTCGCTTTGATGCAACCGCTGATCGTGTAATTAGCTTGCTTGGTCACGTTCCGGTGCCTGAGGTGAAGAATTTTGCGGAGGAAGATCTTTTGATGATCTTGTTGGCTGTGTCAGGAGCTCAGCTTCCCAATAGAATTCCGAGCTTTGCGTCGTTTGATCGACAGGCAAAGTTAAGCCAGAATCCTGCCTAGCCGTTCGAGCAGCTGATCCACCCGGGCGGGTAAGAGTACCGCCGATACAGTGGAATAGCAATGACGTCCCGGTCCCCGAACCCTGCGCTGTCTTGAGGTTCGGGCTGGCGAAGCATCGCCGGCATTGGGGCAAACGACCCGAAGAAACCTGGGGAGTTTTCTTGGAGCTGCTTGCAGCTTGGCTTGCCATGACGGAACTGCTCCTACTGGGGCATAGCTTGGCATTTGTAGATTCATCAGCCGAGTAGCCGAGGACGATATTCTCACAAGCAAGAGCGAAAGGCAAGTGACGTACTTGCAGGCAGGGCTACGCGCTGGAAAGCTCGTTCGATGTTCCCCTGCCTGTGGGCACATCGCGTGCACAGGGAAGGAAACCTCTATAGACTCTATGCTATGCCTTCAGACAGGGCACGGCAGATCGTACAGCCGAGCCATCGGAGCCACACACCTTCAGCAGAGCAATACCTGGAACGACCTACGGGTGCACTTTCGACTGTTTTGTGTTTGTTGGGAGAGGGGGGGGTTGGGTGGACCATCGTTCCTCGTACCCAACACCTGGTACAGAGAGGGAGAGGACACAGCCACGAGCTGTGGGGTTTAACTACCGAGACCACTTGACTGGCCATTATGAAAACAGTCTGTGGCAAAATCACACCGGTAAAATATCCGACGCAAAGCAGGGCTGGAGTGAAACAGTCGCACCGGGGGGCGGCGATGGCCTTCGTCATACCCCACGGAAAAGCATCAGGGAATCGAGCCACTCTGTGTTGCATCGGTAGGCTGCTTAAGTGTCAGCAGCCTTCGAGACACATCATTCGGTGATGCATCCCGGGCCGTTGCAGCTTCACTGCTTGAGCTTCACTTTCCAGATCGTTCGAGCAAATCTTCGCCTTGTGTTGATGACCTCGCAGGCAAGAGAGTGGGAGTCGCTGCAGCGTTGGGTTTCTGGCGGCTTGGAGACACTCTTAAATTCGGCCGGCATGATCATTTGCTTGCTGTTTCCAAACAGGTCGTGATTGTTCGGGGTTGGCAATTTCTTGTCTTCGGATCCTGGCGCTTTCTGGTACTTTGATGACTTGTGCCTGAGGTCATCCCCCGAAGCAAATCGCGGGCATGCTCAACGCGGCGATCATCTTCCACTCGCTGCCAAACCCTAAAAGCACGCTGCGACTGGCCAAGGCCATGTGCACACAATGACGCTGCTATCGCTTGCAGAGCTCGGAGTTATCCAGAAACAGCCATTTAAAAGTGCAGTGCTCAGGAATACTGTGGTCTTGTAGACGTGGTTGCGAGGCAGCAGGGATGCGTTGCCAAGGGCTCTGCTAGAACTGTTTAGAGTGAGATTTTAGTTGCGCAGCGACAAGGGCTACCCAATCCAGGGTCTTTTCGGCGCCTTTCATTGCGAATGGCCCGTCGCGCACGACTGTCCTAGATGGACGAAGGCTCGAAAGCCAGCATTGCAAAGTTACTCCTTGTGGTAAGCTCGCCGATCTACACTCGAAGAGATGCCACTCAGACACCATAAATTTCGTCAGGGTGTTTGATCTCCTGAGCACTCTACCATTGCAGAGGATGATTTGCAAACACGAAGTCGATCTGAAAAGGTCTTGATATTAAGTCCATTTTATGTCACTGTCGTGTGCAATGATGAAGGCACAGGAGGCTTTATTTCATTCTGATTTCATTGCCACTGATGTTACTGCCGCGTCCACTGTCCGCGAGACCTGCCGCCTGCGTGAGGACCACTGTCCAGGAGCCATTCTTTGGCACCCAAACAACCTGTTGGATGGGATATCCAACTGGCTGAAAGAGGGGATGATGGGATATCGTTGTGGTGTCTGTTCAAGTGCTTTTGGGGGTCCCTAAGTGGTGCAATCGCGCTGCGACAACGTTTAGCCCCAGACCGCGACAGATGAAATCGGGGTGAACACTGCATGACAGCTCCGCACCAAGCACCATCCTGCAAGGGAGCTGTTGGCAAAACCAATGGTTGACAGCATCGTTAGTCGCACCACATTCTGCCAACCGAATGTCAGAAGGTGGTGCTGGTGCCTGCATGAGAACTGTTACCATTCGGCTGCAAGCTGAGCAGGAGGGAAGAAATAGCACAGGACGTGCTCATCACGGCTGCATTCAGTCAACAAGGTATTATCGGATTTGATTTCCTCCCACCTGTTCGGCACGGATGACTCTCAACCGCTCAGTGTGATCGGGGTCCTGCACGAGCCTAGGACCAGTTCACACGAACGGAGTGTCTCAGACATGGGCAAGCGCCGTGTCTATTGACGATACCATCAGCTTGAGGTAGTCACCAGTGGCTTGCAGTCTGTTTTAGAGTGGGACAGCAACTGCAACAAGTTACGTAGTGGCGAGTTTGAAAGAATTCACGTTTCGGATTTTCGGCTTTGCAGTAGGCTCGTCGGAGAGCTACCATTGGTGGCAGCTTCCTTATCGAGCCTTCTGCGGTGTGGTCCAAGGGATAACGTGATGATCTCCAGATTGCCCATGCTGTCTGCCTTGGTCGCCACCCGTTCGATTTCCGGTTCATGGTATCATGGGATTTGGTTGCAGTGACCGTTTCTTTGGCGCCTGGTTGTGTCAGCGAAGGGCAACCACATCGAGACTTTCCTACTGCCGACCCGTTGGGTAATTTGTTCGTTCTAGCCGCAGATTCTAGCCGGTTCCATCTTCATGCAGATCGGGACAAGTCGGGCTGACTTCGTGACTTCTATCTGTTGAGGCACTTACACTTACGAAACATGAAAAGGACAGGCTGTATGTTGTTAGTCTCAAGCATGGTATAGGATTAGCATTGTAGGTCTCACAGCCAATGGCGTTTCTGCATGGAGACTACGTAGATGATCGTAAAGATAGCATGTTGCAATGCTACCAGCAGCTTGCTCCAGCCTGTGGTGGGGTTGCTTTGGTGACTCCGACAGGCTGATTGGAGATGTTAGACGCGCAGTAGACTAAGATTACAGGTGGCCACGGATGGCGTAGCAGAAGAAGGAAGCCCGAGGAACTCTTCTCCCATCTTGCATGCCTCAATGAGGAACGTTCTCGCCTGCAAGGGGAGCTGGGAAGTCCGACTTACTTGGTCCCGCAATGCAGTTTCCACTGCATTTGTCTTGTTCACTTATGTGTCTTGCACACGTGACTGTCGCTCTTCTCGTTGTGCTTCGTAATGTTGATGATCAGCCTCACACATGTGCCAATGTGTGATCTGTTAAATGTACGACCGCTGTGTCGGCTTTGCGTTCGGGATCATGTTGGGCACCCAGTTTCCTACAGATTGTTTGTCGCTGGATGTTCCCATTGACATGGCCAGACGAGAAGGCATTAAGCCTGGATCCCAAGCTACCCTGACACTCCACAAGCGTTGCCCCCGCAAGGGTTGATCTTTTCTACAGACTTCAAGCGTCTGTGTCCATGCACATCGGACAGATGTTATGCCAGTGTGAAGCAGTTAGAATCAGCCGACCTTCTGGAAACTACCGCGATGTATGATGCCGGCTCAGTTTCCTTGCTACGGCTTGCGCGGCCAGCTGCCATTATCCGGATATGCGTTGTGGTCTCATGGAAAGGCTTCACTGAGAGAGACTGAGCATCTGCGATTGCATCGTGGAAGCACTATCCACCTTTCATTCGAGGACAAAATATCGACAGAAGCTTTAGCCTCCTCTGTGGAAGCCATCCAGCAATCGAGGCTCGGGGCTCAAAGGGCCCAAAACACTCGCCAGAAGCTTAAAAAAGGCATCTGCAGCATTTGTGCGGAAGCAACGGGGTTTCTCGTTTACCTCGTCCTGTTTTCCCTGAGCGAGAGCCAGCCTCCGTTTCAGACGTGGACGTGCGTCTGCCAGGCACGGGGCAGAAGACCCCGAACGCGCAGGCGGGAGCCTCAGCTTACGCGAAGTCGTCGCGCCAAAAGCGTTTTCGATGATGTTCCGAGGCTTTGCAGCTTCTTTCCATTTAGAAGCACTGGAGGCATGGCAGCATGAGCAAGCATGGCATTTCTCCCCGCAGCCGCACTGTTTCGTCCACAGCACACAGCCAGTCCTGGAAGGGCAGCGATGTCTCCAGTTGAGCTTCAGAAGGCCAGGATGCTACTCAGACAGCAGAGATCTTGAGGACAGGGCAGTACCTAGGCGGCATATCCATGCGCGGCGCTGACTAAAAGGGTTGAAGCACACGCTTGAATCTCGAAACTTGGTGATCCTGGAGCGAAAAATATCGGTTTGCAGCCACAGGCCGAAACTCGCAAACAAGCAAAAACAAGCAGACAAGTAACTCCTGGCTTGGGCCAGGCTCATGATTGGAGCATAGGTCGCCAGGACAGGGACATTAACGTCTCAGGAACACTTGGATAGCACGCTGTGCCCTCCAGACTCTAGACAAGCGGGCTCTCTCTCTCTCTCTCTCTCTTATGGGTGTAGTAGGTCTTCGAGCTGAGCGAGCCAGGCCACAGCTAGAAACGGAGCATGGAAGATCGCTCCGAACGCCAAACAGCTTCTTGCAGCTATGATGGGTGGGACAGAAACAGCGTATTTCGTCAGGTGAGTGATCCAAGCCGTCATGTGGGCTTCAAGTGTGGCGGAACGATAGACGATTGACAGACAGGGAATCCCATGCGTGATGCCTGCTGATGTCTGCTGTTGTCAAAGCAATCTCGCATTCTCGTGCTAGGCTCAGTGGCGGCACATTCGGAATGTGGCATCTGGAATCCCCTGGGTGCAAGCGTCATTCAGGCTGTCAGCAGCGCCAGTGTTATATTAAAGTGCCGCACCCTTCCATTCATTATGTGCGTTTTGCCTTTCTGTGTGGCTGTTGCCCTGCTTGACCTACGGCTCGCCTCGAGCGATCAATTCAGCTATGCTGTTGCATGGTGCCACTTCCAAAGCTCCCGAAGCTGCAAGCTGCATGAGGGTTTTGGAGTTTCGATGTTGCACGATGCCTGCGTGGTTGAGATTGGTAGTACGTAGAATTTTGGAGCTGCAGTTGTGCCTGCCAGCCGTATCTTCCTGTGCAGGGCATGGAAGTCATTCTAAGCCGTTCTGTGTTCCGGATCTTCTGCTAAGAGTTTGTTGATCGGTCACTCCTGCTCCGGTAAGGTGATGGAAATCTCGCATGTGCAGTGAAAGAGAGAACCTCCCGTGACACTCTGTTGCGCAGGGTATCCTGGACTGCTCGACACCCCCCCCTTAAGCCTCGGCTCGGACCCTTTGAGAGAGTCCTTGCATCACTCGTGAGGCACCTGGGCAACCAATGCCAATGAAGCTTTCACAACAGTTGCCTGCCCAGCACCCCAGCACATCAATCTAAATCAATGTAAATCCGGACGTGAAATTTGTTACTGGTCGTTTCATGAATTCTTGGCAGATCGGTCGTGAGCTTTGCGAGCTTCGGTGCCAATTCCCAACCCATTGGACCAATGGCACTGCATCGGCAAACCGTGTAGCGGCAGGAAGCTTCACAATGACTTGATTCTGTTTGTGCCGGGCAGCGATTTAGTCCGTGGGGTGTAGGCAGACCGGCTTGCTCGTGTGGATCTTATGCTTCTTCACGCAAGCGAGAACGAGAAACAGCAATGTTTCGTCGCTTGCTGCATAGTTCCAGAAGGAGTGATTTGGCCGTCACATTTGTACATACCATGTGGCTATCATGAGAGAATTTGCACGGTGCACATGGCGCAGCGTGCGCATCTCACGATTGCCTATTCAAAACGCAGGACTTGTAGTGTACAGGTTTGACGTGCAAAGACACGTTCGCCGTTTCATTAAGTTTCATTGAAACCGAAATCACATCAAAAGACCATTTCAAGAATAAGATCGGCCAAATAACGTTATAGGCCAAATTGAAATTGTAAATTGCTCAATCACATCAATAGAATCTGTGTGTCTGTGCGTGTCTCTTTTCGTGTGCGCGTGTCTCTGTCTGTGTTTGTGAGTGTGTGTGTGTGTATCTCTGAGTGCGTCTGTGTGTCTGTGTGTCTCTCCGTACGTCGCTCTGCGCGTCTCGTTGCGCGGCTCGCTACGCTCTCTCTGTGCGTCTGTTTGGTATTTGCGCGTCTGTCTACATATCTCTATTAGTGCGTTTAGCCGTCTATTAATCTTTTTATTATGGGGATATGTTGGGGATCTGCCTACATGTTATTTCATTATAGATTTAATTATCTAATAAATAATCTAATATTTATTTGTACATTTTCTTATACGCGTTTCTATATATATATATATATAATTATAGAGTTTTTGAAATTTAAAATATAATCTATTATTTTCATAAAAAGAAATATTATGTTGGTCGTCTCTGTATCGAGCTAGTAGTCAATAAATTTAGCGGAATATATAGAAATTTCTAGAAAGATCTAAAATTTATAATTTATTATTTGATATTTCGAATTAGTATCGAAATAGATATAAAAGAAATATTTAAGATTTGAATTCGCTTAGGTATATTTGTATATATTTAATTAGAAATAATTAATATTGATGAATAGAAAATAGTAGCATTATTTATAATATTCACGAAGTTAAATTAAATATATTTAAGAAATAAATAAAATAATAAGAATTATGATATTATTTAAGCACTATTAAATATTTCGTTATGGGCGTAATTTTTTATTTCATATATTTATTTTGCTTAAATTATCTTAGAAATTATTCTTAAGTAATTATAGAATTAATCTTTAAATTTAAATTCTATGAGCTCTTTTATAGATTCTCGTCGCAAGTTTCAATAGCAAGGGAATTTTTATATCATATGAAATATTTTTCAATTAATATTTTAAGATGAAGGTAGATCGAATAAGATAGATATAGAATATGATGCTCGGAGGCCTCGAAATAAGAGACGAATTAATTCAAAAATCTCTCTCAATCTAATCTATTTCTCAATTAGATTAGACTAAAAGATTTTCGCAATAATAATAGAATATCGAGAGCGTTATAAGAATTTAAGCTAGAATTTCTATATAAATTAGCTCAATAATTTTCAGACTGGCAAAATCCAAACTCGATTATAATATTAGATTTAGATATTCCGCCTGGCGATATTTATGCCGATCAAATAAATTAATAAGAATCACCTGCTCAATTTTTATCAAATTTCAATCTAATTTTAATTCTCATTCTGTATATTATAGCATTTTCTTTTCCCCCACCACCACTACCCTCATTATCACCACTTCCCCCACGATCTACACCATATCCTTGTCCAACACCGACTAACTCAACATAATTTATTATGCTCATATCATCAATTTTAATTATTCTAAATTTTTCTTCAATAAATTATTCTAGAATCTTTATAATCTCTTCATCTTCTTTATCTAATATCTGGCAAGAATTTAAGAATATGATTCTTGATAATAAGATAGGAATTAACAAATATATTTCATTTGAATTATTAAATGATTATCTTTAGATCATATATCTTGAAATTCTATATATCTTGATTTTATTATATTGATTGAATTCATAGAGAAAAAAAATATAATATTTAATTTGAATATGCCTAATAAATAGAATTCTTCTTTATTATTTAATATTATGATTCATTTAATAAGCTATTTATTATATCGAATATAATAGAAATTTAGAAATATTCATATTTAATTAAGAATCAAAATAATCTAAAAATATCTCTATATTTATATTCATGGAATGTTTCGTCAATAAATATTCATAAATAGATAGAAGATTATAATTATAATAATTGACGATCATATTATTATTCTTATAGATAAT